GGTGGAGGGGTGGTCTGCAGCAGATCGAAAGCAGGTTCAGAAGCAGATAAGGAGGGTGAGGAGAAAAGCTGGAGGGTGTTATTTCTTGCTGCTGGATCTTAATTGCCGAAGGCCGTATGGAGAATGTCCGGACTACGCCGTAGATCGTGCAGTACGCGCACCCGACGGCGTGTCAACAGTCAACATCCATCGCTTCGACGCGTGCTGCCGCAACCTCCGAAGAGGAGCTTGGTGCCCGTAGCTCCAATACCTTCCAATACCTACCAATGCCAGACGATCACGAAGGTTGCTAGTCCCTGCGACACGTGCTCGCGAACGGCGCGAACGGCCCTGGGGACACGCTAACTGGCAAAGAGGCTGGGTTGACGCAGAGATGCTATGGCGATGGTGTCGTGTGTCGTGTGTTGTGTGGTTAGTCGTGGATCTTGCTCCTGTACGTTGTAGACCTGGAGGTCCCTCTCTCTTGAGGACGCAATCGGCGAATTGTGTGTGTTTGTTGTTGTTTATTAGTGGAAATCTTCCAATCCTTCCGGAAACCCTCCACACCTTCTCAGTTGGAGGGCCCAGTACCGCCGTGTCGCCCGAGGCCAAACGGTACCCCATCAGGCAAGGTCGTTTGTTGAAGGAGAGAAACGTTCACCGTTGCGGATGCTTATCTCAGCAGGGCTGAGGCATAGGGCACGGACGAAGTACACATATTTTAGCCACAATATTAGCCATAATATTAGCCACAATAAGGTACCAGCCACAACTTCAAAATACTCGACGATGGAAGAAAGTACAACGTACCAAGACGGAAGACAGGAAGGAATGACCCAGGTGCTCCGTGCCAATGCCTGGGAATTTCTCTCATTTCTCTCTAAAAATTGACCATACTGGCTTCCATGATCATTCCCTTTCCCACCAGAACGATCCTTGCACGCATTTTCCTGCATCTATATTCCCATATTCCGAAAAAGCAGCGGTCTGACCCATCTGTTGTCCCATGGATCGGTACAACAGTCAACAAAACACCGCCCACATACCATGGGGCATGTTTTTTCTTTCCTTTTTTTCCGTAACTCGCGACAAGGCTCTCCAGGATCGCAATCCACGTCGCTCGAACCAACCGTGATTGGGCTTCCGAGAGATGAAGAGAGACACACAGGAGAAACGAGAGATGAAGTTATCTGCAACTGCCATGTGGTTTCTATTTGCGTCGAGACAAACCTCATCCAAAGGGAACGTGCACCTGCATTCCTCTCGCGGTGGGAACCCATTTTTAGCAGCATTCAAAGCTTGGCTCCCCTCCGAACCCCTGAACCCACGATCCATCGCGTTGATCACTGACCCGATACGGCACATATCCGTTACAATTGTGCGAAATTAATAAGCCTTGCTTACCAGGACGATGTCCCTTCTTGTGCAGCCATTCCCCTTTCTGAGACTGCGACGTTAGGAAATGGGAATGGGGCCAACTGCGGGGGCCTTTGTGGTCAGCAAGAGATTGATTGCATTGTCAGACGCTAGATCTGGCCCCCAGTCCTTATTCCTCGAGGGGAGAGGCTGCTTGGGCAATTACTGGCCGACCATACAACGTACCGTCTGCTGGGGTTGGGCGTTCTGCACAGAAGCTTCCTTACCGTATTCCTCCAGGTCTCTCTGGCTTGCGGTTGGCCTCAGCCCGGTCTCACCAGCATAAATCCTACTCCCCCGTCTTACCGTCTTACGGAGCCCACAGCCCTCTTTTTTTTTTTTTTGCCTAACTAACGCTCATGGTGATAGGTTGGGTGCCTGACGCCAACTAACCAACCCCAGCCTTTCTGATTTTCCTACCAAAGCAACCATTTCGGCACCCGGTCAACTGCTCTCAATTCAGGGTCCCGGCGTGCACCACCACACCACCGGCGAATGCTACGCCTCGCGGGGCCGTGGAGCGCCACGATGAAAATAGAGTTCCTCTCCACACGAGCTACTCCGTGCGTGGCCGGGGGGGCACACCGGCCTCCGGCACCCTACGGAGCTGCTCACCTCCAAGGGGGCGAAGAAGCGAGGGATCCTGAAGAACACTGCTGGAAGGAATCCTATTATGGCTTATGGCTCACTGTTCACCATGCCGAATTCCGTGATCAGGTCCTCCAGTCTTTCACCATCTCGTTCACATATCAACCTCCCTTTCCCACTCCCAGTTTCAGTGATCTCTCTCCATCTTCCCATCTTCCCATCTTCCCATCTCACCATCTCATCATCTCATCATCTTTCCATCTCTTCAACACACGCCAGCTTGCCAGCCAGCTTGTTTGTTGTATTTGCTCAATCTTCATTGCCAACTCCGAAAGACAGTTTCTTATCATCTTTTTGCTTTGCTCATTCCAGCCCAGCCAGCCCAATAGAGGAAAACGAGTGATTCTTACCGATAGACTAGCGACTCTTTTGTTGTTTCAACCTCCTTACGCATATAGACGGACGCTCGATAATCTTCTGTTCCAACATCACATCATTGGCCCTTCTCACCACGACCTATAGACTTCTTCCTCTTCTCTCCGGTCTCGATATTTATCGCGGACCTCCCACCCACCGATCACCAATCATCCTACCTTCGACAGGCAAACATTACAGTTTAGACACAACCGCTTTCCTCCCCGCCTCATCTACCAAGTCGCCTTGATAGAGACACTAGAGATCACCTTGCGCCTTTCAACGCCTGCCAGCCCGAAAAAGGACCAGAGGACGACCTCTTTGTATTCTTTGACAGCGAAAAAATCTGTTCAAAATGCCTGCCCGTGCCAACGTTCGCGAAGATGACCCCACCGTCATCGTCGGCCTTGCTTGCCGAGTTCCTGGGGCTGCCAACCCCAGCAAGCTTTGGGAGCACATTTCCGCTCAGCGTGACGTCCAGCGAAAGATGCCCGAGGATCGGTACAACGTAGACAACTACTTCCATCCCGATGGCACCCGCAAGGGTTTCGTATGTCTCCTCCCCAGCTCCCCCCCGAAACTCGCCCTTGAAGTTTCATAGACACTGACTTGGCATCTCTCTTCAGACCAACGCTCGTTTCGGCTACTTCCTTGACCAGGATATCGCCGATTTCGATAACAGCTTCTTCGGTATCTCTGGAAAGGAAGCCGATGCCATGGACCCGCAGCAGCGTCTCCTCCTCGAAGTCGTCTACGAGGCTCTGGAGAACGCTGGGATCACCCTGCAGGACATCAGCGGCTCCCAGGCGTCCGTCTTCTGCGGCTCGTTCACCAACGATTACTTGTCCATGACCGGCAAGGATCTGACTGCCAACTATCCCATGTACCACGCCACCGGTACTGGCAATGCCATCCTTTCCAACCGTATCTCGTACTTCTACAACCTCCACGGCACGAGCATCACTCTTGACACCGCTTGCTCTTCGTCGCTCGTTTGCTTCCACCTTGGCAACCAGTCTCTCCGCAGCGGCGAGGCTGACATTTCCATTGTGGTCGGCTCCGCTCTGCACTTCGACACGAACGTTTACCTGACCATGACCGACCTGGGCATGTTGTCGACCGATGGTCGTTGCCGTGCTTTCGATGCGTCTGGCAGCGGTTACGTTCGTGGCGAGGGTATCTGCGCTGCCATTCTCAAGCGCAAGAGCGACGCTGAGCTCAACGGCGACAACATCCGTGCCATCGTCCGCAACACCGGCTCTAACCACGACGGCCGCAAGAACGGCATCACCCTCCCCAACAGCGCTGCCCAGGAGGAGCTGATCCGCTCGACCTACGAGGATGCGGGCCTCAACCCCCTGCACACCCAGTACTTTGAGGCCCACGGCACTGGTACCGCTGCCGGTGACCCCATCGAGACCCGAGCGATCGGTGCCGTCTTCTCCAAGGGCCGTGAGACCCCCTTGTACATTGGTTCCGTCAAGACCAACATTGGTCATCTTGAGGGCGCCTCGGGTCTGGCCGGTATCATCAAGACCACTCTTGCCCTGGAGAAGGGCATGATCCCGCCCAACATGCACTTCAACACCCCGAACCCCAAGATCGACTTCGAGAACTGGAAGCTCGCCGTCCCCACCAAGATGACGCCCTGGGATGTTCCCGAGGGCATTGCTCGTCGCGCCTCCATCAACTCGTTCGGCTACGGTGGTACCAACGCCCACGTCGTTATTGAGGAGTACAAGCCCGAGACCGTCAAGCCTGCCCGTGTCGTCGAGGCGATCGAGAACGGCGTCCATGCTCGTCCTCACCTGGTTCCCCTCTCGTCCCACTCGGCCAAGGCCGGTGAGCTGACCGAGGCTGCCCTCAAGGCCTACCTTGTTGAGAACGACAATGCCGCCATCGGCGATGTCGCCTACAGCCTGTCGCACCCGCGCCGGACCAAGCACGCCCAGCGCTCCTTTGTCGTCGCCAACGACTCTGCTGGTCTTGCCGAGCAGCTCACCACCCCTCGGCCTGCCGCCAAGTGGACCCTGGCCAACAAGACAACGCCCCGTCTGGGTTTCATCTTCACTGGTCAGGGTGCGCAGTGGTATGCCATGGGCCGTCAGCTCCTGGAGGAGTCTCCTCTGTTCCGCCAGACCCTGAAGCGCTGCGACAGCATCCTCCAGTCTCTTCCCGATGCTCCTGAGTGGTCCATCATTGAGGAGCTCTCCAAGACCAAGGAGACCTCTCTCCTCGGCGACACCCTCTACTCGCAGACCATCTGCACTGCCCTGCAGCTCGCCGTTCTTGAGGTCCTGGCCGCTTGGGGCATCAAGCCTTCCGCCACCGTCGGTCACTCTTCGGGCGAGATGGCTGCCGCCTTTGCCGCCGGCATACTCTCCTTTGAGAGCGCCATTATCGCTGCCTACTACCGTGGCCGCTACATGTCGGCGCCGATCGAGAACGGCAAGCCTGGTGGCATGATGGCCGTTGGCCTGACCGAAGCCAAGGCGACCGAGGAGCTCAAGGCGTACAAGGGCCGCCTCTGCATTGCTGCCGTCAACAGCCCGTCGACCATGACCATCTCTGGCGATTTGGATGCCATCGTCGAGCTCAAGGAATCCCTGGACGAGCGCAAAGTCTTCAACCGCCAGCTCATCGTCAAGCAGGCCTTCCACTCGCACCACATGGACCCCCTGGCTCCTGCTTACGAGAACGCCCTCAAGGGCTGCGCCGCCTTCTCCACCAAGGAGCCCACTGCCCGTATGTTCTCTAGCGTCACCGCGCGTCTGGCTGACCACGAAGCCATGGGCCCCAAGTACTGGGCTACCAACATGACCAATGCCGTCAGGTTCTCGGATGCCCTCACCGGCATCGTCCTCGACGACGAGGATGAGCCGAACGTTGACGTTCTGGTCGAGATTGGTCCCCATGCTGCCCTCAAGGGTCCTTCCCGCCAAACTCTCCAGGCCCTGAATATCGACCTGCCTTATCTCGCTTCGCTCACCCGCGGTGTCCCCGACTACGAGTGCCTCCTCAACCTGGCCGGTACCCTCTTCTCCCTGGGTTACCCCGTTGACCTCGTCGCTACCAACCAGAACCTTAGCCTCGGCGCTTCGAACGAGATCGTCAGGGTCGACACCGGGTCCAAGCTGGACGACCTCCCCACGTACTCCTGGGATCACAAGCGGTACTGGCACGAGACCCGCTACCTCAAGGAACATCGTCTCCGCAAATACCGCCACAGCCTCCTCGGCCACGTCTTCCCCGGCTCCGTTGCCAAGCACCCCAAGTGGCGCAACTACCTCCGCATCAGCGAGATCCCTTGGCTCAGCGAGCACGTCGTCGATGGCAAGATTGTCTTCCCAGGTGCTGGCTACATCTCCATGGCCATCGAAGCCGTGATGCGCGTCGAGGAGCTCGAGACGGCCAAGATGATCTTTGTCAAGGATATCATGATCAAGAACGCCCTCCTTCTCCCTACCAGCGACGACGGCGTCGAGATCCTCCTCGAGCTGAAGCCTGTCACCTCCTCTGCCAAGGACAAGTCGGAAATCTGGTATGAGTTCGCTGTCTACTCGTATGACGAGAATAGCAACTGCACCGAGCACTGCCATGGTCTCATCAGCACTGAGAAGGGCGAGCCTGCCCCGATCCCTGAGGGTTATGCTGGCCCCATCGACCTCGACCAGAAGCGCAAGGAGACCAACCGCTCCGAGTCGGCCGCGCAGTTCTACAAGCGCCTCGCCGATCTCGGTCTGGACTACGGCGAGAAGTTCCAGCGCATCACCAACTTCATGGAGAGCGGTCCCGGCTTCTCTGTCTCTGACCTCGTCTTCGACCCCAGCGCCCTCCCCCGGAACCCTGGTGACGAGACCATCATGCACGCGACCCTGCTCGATGCCTTCTTCCACACCATCTTCCACGCCATTGAGTCCTGCCTCGGCCGTCCTCTGGATGAGCCCTACGTCCCGTCTTTCTTCAAGACCCTCAAGATTTCGGGCCACTTCTGCGAGTGGGCTCAGTCCACCGACATCAGGAACTTCAAGGTCGGGTCCTTCACGCGCACCCCCTCTCCCCGTGTGGCCATCAACGATATGGTCATGCAGGACCAGGAGGGTAAGCTGATGATCGAGATTGGCGGCCTCGAGGTCACTGCTCTGGGTCGCGAGCAGCCGGATGGTGCCAACGCCCGCACCCTGTTCTACAGCCAGCGCTGGGCCCCTTGCTTCGACCTCCTCTCGAGCGATGTTGCTCGCCCTCTGTCCGAGGTTGTCGACATCTTCGCCCACCAGTACCCGAACACCAAGATTCTGCACATCACCTCCGACGTCGCAAAGACCAACGAGGTCCTGTCTACTCTGGGAGGCGCGAAGGGCCATCGTCGTCGCTTTGGCGGTCTCGACGTCTGCTCTCTCAATGGCGAGACTCTCGGCGAGGAGTTCGAGGAGCTTTCCAACGCTACGAACGGCCTTGTCAACATCGCCGAACCTCAGGCCGGTGCGTATGACCTGGTCATTGTCAGCGAGGTTGGCTCTTTCGATGCCGTTCCCTTCATGAAGGACACTGGCTACATCGTCTTCGACGGCCAGAAGGGCACTGTGTCCGCTGACCTCACCGAGGTCTTCTCTACCCCTGCTGCCACCGCCCTGCACAAGTCGAAGGAAGCTTCCCCCCTCAGTGGTCCCCTCTCCGTCATTATCCCCGCCGGCCAACTGTCCGAACGCAGCAAGGCCATTTTGGCTGCTCTTGAGGCTGGCTACCCGGGTGAAGTGGAGCAAGTGACTTTCGCCGACATTGTCGAGGACGGCCTTGACATCCTCCGCGACAACATTGTCGTCCTGGCCGGTCTTGACGAGCAGGTGTACGATGAGACCAGCTTCAAAGGTGTCCAGGCTCTTCTCGGTGCCGTCGAGAAGAACACGGTCTGGCCTCTTGAGGGCGCCACCCAGGAAGCTGCTCGCCCCGAGTTGGCTATGCTCGTCGGTGCCATCCGTGTCGGTCGCTCTGAGAACGACAACACTCGCAATGTCACTTATGACTTCGGAACGGACACTACCACCGAGGATGCGGCCGCCGGCATCCTTCGCGTCCTGGGCAGCTCCGTCAATGAGGACGAGTTTGCCGAGCGCAACGGCGTCGTCTTGACCCCTAGGTTCGAGGCCGACGACGACCGCAACCGCCGCCTGCGCAATGGCCCCAGCCGCGAGCCCCGCCTCGAGCTTTTCGGTGAGCGCCGGCCCCTGAAGCTGACCTTCGGCAAGGTCGGTCTCCTCGACACCCTTCATTTCGCCGAGGACGAGGAGATCATCGACACTGAGCTTGCCGCCGATGAAGTCGAGATCGAGGTCAAGGCTTCTGCCATCAACTTCCGTGACTTGGCCGCCTCGCTTGGTATCATCGACGACTACAAGCTTGGTGACGAGTGCGCTGGTGTTGTCATCCGCGTCGGCTCGGAGGTTGAGGGCTTCGGTCCTGGTGACCGCGTGGTTGCGTGGCGTCCTGGCCAAGGTGCCCACAGGGCCATCTGCCGCAACCCCGCCTCGCTCACCTACAAGCTTACCGGCGACATGCCTTTCTCCGCCGCTGCCGCTCTTCCTTGCATTCTGACCACGGCTTGGTTCGCCTTCGAGCATACCGCTCGCGTGCAGCCCGGCGAGACCGTCTTGATCCACGCCGCTGCCGGTGGTGTCGGTCAAATGGCCATCCAGGTCGCCCAGCGTGCCGGCGCCCGTGTTCTGGCCACTGTCGGTTCTCCTGCCAAGCGCCAGCTTCTCAGGGAGACCTATGGCATCCCCGAGGAGCACATGTTCTCGTCCCGTGACGACTCGTTCGTCGAGGGTGTCCTGGCCGTTACCGGCGGCAGGGGTGTCGATGTTGTTCTCAACTCGTTGGCTGGCCCCCTGTTGCATGCCACTTGGTCTTGCTTGACCCAGTTTGGTCGCTTCATCGAGATTGGTAAGCGTGATATTCACTCTAACACCAAGCTCGACATGGACCCCTTCCGCAAGAACGTCCTCTTCGCCTCGGTCGATTTGATTACCATCTTCAACCACAACAAGCCCCTTGGCGCCCGCATCGTCAAGGAGTGCTGCGACCTCGTACACAACGGCGAGATCCAGCTGCCCCAGACCATCCTCGAGGTCTCCTACGAGGACGTTCTCAAGGGCTTCCGTCTCCTGCAGATGGGCAAGCACACCGGCAAGATCGTGCTCGTTCCGTCCAAGGACGACGTGGTTCCCGTCGCGCCTCCCTCGTTCCGCAACACCAAGCTGTTCAAGGCCGACAAGACCTACCTCCTCGTTGGTGGGCTCGGCGGTCTTGGCCGTACCCTGGCCCAATGGATGGTCCGCAAGGGTGCGAAGAAGCTGGCCTTCCTGTCGCGTTCTGGTGCCGACAAGTCCGAGGCCAAGATGACCGTCGACTGGCTCGTCTCTCGTGGTGTGGAGGCCACTGTCTACCGCGGCGATGTTTCCAAGCGCGCTGACGTGCAGGCTTGCGTCGACGGCGTCGGCAGCTCCCTCGGCGGTATCTTCCAGGCCGCTATGGTTCTCCAGGACGTGCCCCTCGAGACCATGACCTACAAGCAGTGGGTGCGCTGCGTCGAGCCCAAGGTCAACGGCGCCAAGCACCTGCACGATGCCACCATGGGCACGGACCTCGACTTCTTCGTCTGCTTCTCGTCCGTCGCCGCCGTCTTGGGCTCCAAGGCCCAGGCCAACTATGCTGCGGCTAACTGCTACCTCGACGCTCTCATGCGCCACCGCCGCGAGATGGGTCTGGCCGGCACTACCATGAACGTCGGTGCCGTGGCCGGCATCGGTGTCGTCAGCGAGAGTGCCGCCCTCGGCCAGATCATGGAGCGCCTGGGCATCGACCCCATCAACGAGGAGGAGCTGCTCTACCAGCTTGAGGAGGCTGTCAAGGGCGACCGCGACCAGAAGATCTCGCCTCGTGGTGTCGACTCTCACCAGATCTGCACGGGTGTCGGTCTCATCAAGCCCGACGTCTACTGGGCCGTCAAGCCGCTGTTCAGGAACCTCTACGACAACCATGACTTCGCCGGCTCCACCACCTCCAGCAAGAAGCAGAAGAACATCATGGCCCTGCTCGCCGAGGAGGCTGAGCCCGAGAAGCGCGTGGCGATCGTTCTTGACGCTTTCTTGGACAAGATTGCGAGCGTCCTCGGCACGCCCAAGGACTCCATCATCCCCAGCAACCCTCTCTCTGCCTACGGTCTCGACTCGATTGTCGCTGTCGAGTTCCGCAAGTTCTTCCGCAAGGAGATCCAGATCGACATCGCCCTCTTCGACATCTTGGGCGCTGCTTCCATCACAGCTCTCGTTGTCAAGGCCACCAAGATGATCTCGGCCGCCGCCACCGCTACCGATGGCGCGGCGTCCGAGGCCAAGGACGACAAGGCCAATGCCGCCGAGGGTGAGAAGACGGACAAGGAAGCCGGTGTCTCAGCCATGGCTTCGGGTGAGATCACCAAGGTCGACGCCACCACTGGCGTGGCCATCCCGCTGTCCACCTTCCAGAACCGTCTCTGGTACATCCACTCGTTCCTCGAGGACAAGTCCTTCCTCAACCTCCCCATCACCATGCGCATCAAGGGCAAGCCCAATCTGGACATTCTCCGCGCCACTGCCCAGGCGCTCGCCCGCCGCAACGCCGTCATGCGCACCAGCTACTACGAGGGTGACGACTTTGCCCAGCAGGAGCCTCTCGAAGACTTCGAGATCGACGTCCACTACCGCGACCTCTCCGGCGAGGCCGACAAGGAGCAGGCCCTGAAGGAATATGTCGACTACAACCGCCAGATTGAGATGAACGTCGAGGAGGGCGAGGTCGCCAGCTTCGCCCTGGCCAAGCTCTCTGAGGAGGACTGGGCCTACAGCCTCATCATCCACCACATCTCGGTCGATCGTGGTTCCATGAAGGGCATGATGAGCCAGTTCGTCAGCCTGTACGATGCCATCGCCACCGGCAAGGACCTCAGCACCGTGCCATCGCCCGAGTTCAGCTATGCCGACTTCACGCTCTGGCACAACGCTCGCCTCAACTCGGACCTGATGAAGCCCGACCTCAACTGGTGGAAGGAGAAGCTGACTGGCATTCCCGAGGCCAGCAAGCTGCTCCCCTTCGCCAAAGTCAGCGAGCGCCCGCAGAACAACGACCCCCACCGCCACGCCCTCAAGACCAGCCTGAGCTCCAAGCTCTTCGCCCGCATGAAGCGTATCGCCTCCCAGTCCAACGCGACGCCGTTCCACTTCATCCTCGCCGCGTTCCGCGCCTTCATGTACCGCTACACCGAGGACAAGGACCTCGTCATTCTCATGGTCGACGGCAACCGCCCTCACCCCGACGCCGAGGACATTTGCGGTTTCTTTGTCAACATGTGCCCCATCCGGCTGAACGACGACTGCGAGACCACCTTCGACCAACTCTTCACCGCCACCAAGGACCGTGCTCTCGAGGCCATGGCCCACACTGGCATTCCCTTCGACACCATCGTCGACCTGATGAACGTGAAGAAGACGCCTAGCCACCTCCCCATCGGCCAGGTCTCGGTCAACTACCAGATCCACGGACCGGTCCCTGTGTACAACACCAACGACTTCACCATCAACCAGCTCGAGACCGATGACATTCCCACCGCCTCCGACATGCAGCTCGAGGCCCTGGAGACGGGCGACCACTCTCTCGACCTTCGCATCGAGTACGCCACCGCCCTGTACGGACAGGAGGACATGGAACGCTTCCTTGACAACTTCTTGTCGTTCCTGTCCAGCACCATCAAGGACCACCGCCAACCCATCGAGGAAGTCAACATGACCGGGCTCCTCGAGGTCGCCCACTTGGAGAAGAAGTACTGGAACACTGGTGTCGCTAAGAACCAGTGGGAGGGACAGAGTGTTGTGGACAAGGTCACCCAAATGGCAAGCGAACATCCCCAGGCCGAGGCGATAAAAACTTCTGACGGCCACAGCATCTCCTACAGGCAGCTGATCGAAAACGCCAAGAGCGTGGCCTCTGAGCTCGTTCAGGCAGGCGTGAAGCCCGGTGAGCGAATCGCGCTTCTCGCCCTGCCCGGTGTCGAGGCCGTGACCGGCCAGCTCGGTGCTCTCATGACCGGCTCGTGCTACGTCGCCCTCGACACCGATTTCGCTCAGGACCGCCTCTCGTTCATGATCGCCGACGCCGGATCCCCTGTTCTCCTCGTCGGCTCCGGTGCCGAGGCCCTGGCCGGCGACCTCACTGCCAAGGCTGGGGCCGCCGCGCCCAAGGTGATCGTGATTCGGGAGGCGGTCGCTTCGGCCCGCTCCCCCGTTCAGCTGCATTCCCGTCAACCCTCCGACCCTTTCTACATGATCTACACCTCGGTAAGTTGAGAAACCGTCCCCCCCACCCCCTTCCCATTCCCCCCCCCCCAACGCGGTGGATGCTGAAGGATGTAACAGGGAAGCACCGGCACTCCTAAGGGAGTGGTGCTCACCGAGTCCAACACCCAGCAAATGCTGGCCACTCTCAACAAGGACTACGCCTTCACATCGGAGGACACGTTCCTTCACCAATCCTCCATGTCCTTTGACCTCTCCATCGTCCAAATCTACTCCGCCCTCACTTGCGGTGGCACCGTCTGCATCGCGGCCTGGGAAACACGCAAAGACCCCCATGCCCTGGCCGAGTTCATGAAGGATGCTTCCGTTTCCGTTACCTACTTCACCCCCACCCAGTTCGCTCTTCTCATGGACCTTAACACCGATGCCCTCAAGAAATGCGACAAGTACCGCGTCGCCTACTTCGCGGGTGAGCGCCTCCCCGTCCGCGTTGCCAAGGGCTTCTACGAATTGGGCACTCCCGCCGTCCTCTACAACACCTGGTCGCCCAGCGAACTCGTCGTCCAGACGTCCATCGGCCGGATCGATCCTCCTTCCGAGGAAGAGGTCAGCCTGCCAATCGGTTACCCCATGGACAACTGCCGCCACTACATTCTCGACACCAAGGGCAATCCCCTTCCGGCCGGCATGGTCGGTGAGCTTGTGGTGGGCGGCGCGCAGGTCGGTGCCGGCTACCTGAACCGACCTGAGATCAACGCCAAGTCGTTCGTCGAAAACCCCTTCGCCTCCGAGGAAGACCGCAAGCTCGGATGGACCAGGATGTTCAAGACGGGTGACCGCGGTCGCTTCCGCCCCGATGGCCAGCTTGAATTCCACGGCCGCATTGCGGGCGACAAGCAGATCAAGCTCCGTGGTTTCCGTGTCGACCTCGGCGAGGTTGAGCAGCGTCTCTTCCAGGAATCCCAATCCGTCCAGCCGGGGTTGATCGACATCGCTGTCATCGCCCGGACCATCGAGGCGGGCCAAGAAGACATCCACCTGGTGGCCTACCTGGTTCCCAAGGCCGGTCTCGCCGTCGCTGACCGGGCTTCTTTCGTCTCCCAGCTGCACGACAAGGCCAAGCCTCACCTCAACGACTACATGCTTCCCAACGGTTACCAGTTCCTCGAGAAGCTCCCCGTCACGATTGGTGGCAAGGTCGACCGGCGGAACCTCCTGAGCCGCGATCTCGAGCTCATCTACCCGACCACTGCGGCGGCCGCTACCACTGCCGCGACCGGTGACGCGGCCGGTGCCACCAACGCCAACAACGAACTCGAGGAGTCGGTCATGGCCGTCTTCCGCGGCGTTCTCGGCGACAAATACGCCGACCCGAGCGACAACTTCTTCCAGCGCGGTGGCCATTCCATCCTGCTGGTCAGGCTCCAGGCCAGGATCAAGAAGCAGTTCAAGGTGGCGCCACCCCTGCCCCAGATGATCAAGGAGCCCACAGCGGCGGCCGTCTGCGCCTACATCCGCACCAAGAAGGGTGGCGACGCTGGCGGCAAGGGCAGCTTCGAGAGCGCAATCAGCTGGGAGGCCGAGACGAAACTCCCCAACGATGCCCGCTACACCCCGCGCTGGGGAACTCCCCGTGTTGAGCGTGACGAGCAGAAGACGATCCTCATCACGGGCCCCGAGCTCTTCATTGGACTGCACCTTCTGGCGGAGATCCTGACAACTAAGCGTGAGGCGACGGTTTACGTCCTTGGATCTCTCGAGCCTAGCCAGGTCGAGAACATTGTCGCGCTTCTCGACAAGCACGGCCTCATCAATGACGGCCCGGAGAACCCGCTCAGCAAGGACGAGGTCCGGACCCGCGTCAAGGCGGTCCCTGGCGTCCTCTCGAAGCCCAACTTCGGACTCAGCAAGGTGGCGTTCCGCCAACTCGGGCAGAAGATCCAGGCCATCTACCACCTTGGTGGCCACGTTTCCCTCCTCAAGACGTACTCCTTCCTCAAGACATTCAACGTGGCACCGATCTTCGACCTCATCCACCTGGCTGGTATCGGTGATCACCTCTCGGAGATCCACCACCTGTCGACCTGGTCGGTTCCCCATCTCCAGACCTGGACCAAGACGAAGCGGTCGGGCAAGACGTGGGTGACTGCGGAGGAGGAGATGGCACACTTCCAGCCTCCCGCCGAGGACGAGTACGGCTACTTCAAGACTCGCTGGGTGGCCGAGGCGATCCTCCGCAACGCGGCGTCGCGCGGCTTCCCTATCACGATTACCCGTGCGCCTGCCGTCACCAGCCTGCGCCCCAACGGCTTCATGGACCCCGGTGATGAGTTCACCATCCGCATGGTGATGGAGATGGTGGAGTCGGGAGCGATCCCGCGCCTGGGCTCGCCCAGCCAACCGAGCTTCGTGATTGACGTGATCCCGGTCGATTACCTGGTCCGCGGGTTCTACTCCCTCACGTCGGAGAAGGAGGTGCTTGCGATGGCGCCGGCGGAGCAGGGCAAGCCCAACATCTACCACTTCGCCAACCCGTCGCCGCTCAAGCTCCAGGACCTGCCGGACCTTGTGCCGATGCTCCGCGAGGACGGCAAGCGGCCCAGCCTCATCTCGGCCGACAGCTGGCTCAAGAACCTGGAGAAGCAGCACAAGGAGAACGAGGGCGCGGCGGCGACGATCCGTGGCACGGTGCTCCGCGAGTACCTCTCCATGGGTCATGTCATGTTCTCTCTCGATAGGACCCAAACGGCCAAGCTGCTGGAGAAGCTGGTGCCTGGTCTGGACGAGACTTGCCCTGCGATTGACGGCAAGTTCTTGGATCATCTGTTCAAGCGCATCAAGGCTGCTGAGCCATGAGTGTGCACCAGGTGAAACTTAAAAAAAAAAAAAAAAAGAAACTCACACACTTATATACTCATACACCTGGGGGATAGCATTTAGACATTTCGATTCAGATATAGGTGTATGAGGACAGAAAAGACTTTTGAGGGGGGAATTTTTGTGGAATTCTTTTCTTCTTTTCCTTTGTCCTGCGAGCGAGTTTTTGGATTTTAATGGTTTTGTTTATTATTTTGTATTCTTACGATTTCATGATACCTACATCTATGGGCTGGCAATACATAGATTGAGCAAACATCCTTATTCCACATGTTCTCGAAAGTGATGGTGATTGAATGGTCTCGACAAATGGAGCTAGGAGAAAGTAATGGCACAATTTAATAGCATCGGCATCGTTTGTATTCGGCCCTTTTTTTTTCTTTTTTTTTGTCGTATGTGTTGTATACCTTAGTCGGGGCGGCGATACATAAGGATTGACGGAATGTGAAGCTATTCACGCGTTTGGACCCCGTGTGCGTACTAACACCTTTTGAGATTCGCTAGTGGTGATGGTGATGATTACATAATACAGATAGTCCGTACTTGTTTTCCCCACACTAAAATTCATGCGGTTTTCCCCTTCGGACTGGTAAATCACCGGCGATCTTCGAGCCTTCCATTTCCCATTTCCCATTTCCACCTACTCCGTACGTTCGTTCTCGTTGTTTCCCCCAACCCCGCTCAACAACCAGCACCCTCGAGAATTCATCTACGCCAAAGTCATGGTCCAAGGCTCCGCCATCAAGAAGGCCGGCCAGCCTGCGGCAACAGGCAAGCCTAAAGCAGCGAGCACACGCAGACAACCGAACAAGGTGGGCAAGAAGCCGCAGAAGGCCAAGATGCGAACGTCGGCGGACAAGATGCAGAAGAAGTTCGCGGGGGCCCTGACTGCCAAGACGGAGAAGATGCTTGGGGAGCGGGCGGGCCACCTGGAGCTCATCGGGAAGGGGAAGAAGGGGAATGATAAGAAGGGTGTGTCGGAGAAGGGAGGAAGTCGGAAGTTTGGCTGAGGGTTTTTTTTTTTCCTTTTTTTTCCTTCGTGTTCCTTTGAAGAACGACGATGACGAAGGTACGGGGGACTATCGAGAGTCGTTTCCAGCGAATGCGAGTGGATATTCGACAATATTCAACAACCTCGTCAACCATGCTGGTTCCGAACGCTACGATAACGAATTGCTCTTGCGAGGTGCCCATGGACGAGACACATTGCTTTCGTTCGGCGACAACTCTTCTCTTTACAAACGCCTCTACCACACTGAGAGGGACATTTCGATTCCTTGCCGATACCACATACAAGGCGAAACCACAGGCGAGACAGTTCCCAACTCGGAATCGGGATCAGCATTCTTCCTCTTGGGTCAGGGCGTTGGCCGAACAAGACATCAACCGGCCAAGGAATAGAAAATACTTGGGAGAACTAGCCAACGCCGCATGCTCTATCCCAAGACAAAGACGCCGACCGGAGAGACCGCCCCTGGGATAAGAAGTTCAACTCAACCATTACGGTCTGTGCATATGTCGACAGGCCGTCATAAATACCAAGAGAGAAACATCAATCCAAAAATAAACAATAAAAAAGATTCATGGGACGATGCCACGGGAAGCATTCTGTTGGGGTTGTTTGTTTGGATGACTACCCAGGTACTGGGTGTAACGGGAGGCTTTCAGTTGCTTCAGGTTTACCAGCTTAGGTAAGAAACACTGCTGCGAAGGAGATCAAAATGGGTTGAGGGAGTCAAGCTGTCTGATCCAAAAAAGAAAACAAAAACAAAAAAGATGACTCTGGCTTACCCATCCCAAATTACAAGGCCCCCCCAACCCTGACGGAGGTATGTGCGAACGCCAACGCGGTATACCTCTCACCTGCCGCCGCACCCCCCGCACCCACGACACCCGCGACACCCGCCCACATGCCTAGTCCACTCAACATTCGCCTCGAAAAACTCGCGTCGTTTCCGCGCTCTCCCGGCCTACGCGGTCCTCCGGAGCGAGGGGAGGGCAGGAATGGCGGCCATGCTGGGACGGATGGTGCGGTTGGCGCGGAAGATCGCGGCATTTGTGCGGGATTCGCATCACTACGAGTGGTTGCCCGACCAGGAAGCGGAAGCGGACTTGGAGGACACGCATATCATCGTGCTTTTCCGGGCCAAGGACGAGGCGTTGAACGACGTGCTTGTGGCGAAGATCAATGAGACCAGGGAGGTCTTCGTCAGTGGGACGGTGTGGAACGGAAAGGCTGTTAGGATTGCGGTGGCTACTCGGAGAGTCGATGTGGAGAGGGGTTTTGCGGTTGTTCGGGAGGTTTTGGATTCTGTTGCTGAAGGGCGCTCGTAATTCCAGGGTTGGGACCACAGGCTAAGGATCTGAGATGGTCGTCACATCTTTGTAGAAGACACCCATAGAGGCTTCAGGGGACCCTACGAAGTACGAAGTAAGATCTCAGGTGACGGTGTTGCGAGGTCACGTGATTGTGTTGGTGGCTTGGCTTCCCTGTGCACCTACCTAATTGGGCGATGGCTCAGGCGGATGAGGTACCTTATTACTCATTATCTCATTATCTCGTTATCTCATCCTCATCCTCGTCCATTGTCGTCTGTCTCCATCCGTACGTATTGTGTTCGCACGGGGAGCACTCCGTACAGCTTCCTTTCTTCCATCATCCCATCCCGCCTATCCATTCATCGCTTCATCCTTCACCTCTGCATCCGTTAGCCAATTCATACCTTGCCCGGATAAGCTGTACGGAAGGGCATACTACGACTTCATCGCTGTCAGACAACACCGGTCAATCGACTTCAACGCGACTCTCCGTCCACGATCATCAACCCAGCCCGCCACCGCCATGCAGTGGCAGATCGCAGCGCCAGCAACCTTGGCTCTCGTAGTCTATGCCCAGTGGAGGAAGGCCCTTACTCCATCGGGCATTCTTGCGGCCATATTCACAGCTGCCATCCACGCATATCATCCCTGGAATCTACCCTTCACCCTTCTCTGCACGTTCTTCCTCTCTGGCACTTTAGCGACCAAGGTGAGAGTGACCCGTGCTCTGCTCTGACATTGATGTCCTCTTTAATGCACAGTGGCTTTTTCTTCTTCTTTTTTTTTTTCTCTTTTTTTCTTCTTCTTTTTCCTCAACTCCCGTTTGCCATTTCTTGTTTGTCATTTAACGGGGAATTATTATCATCCACGGTCCTGACACACGCACTTGGGTAGATCAAACATGGCTACAAGGCTACTCTCACAATGCAGTCCAAGGGCTCTGTTGGTGAAGGGCCTCGGACTCATACACAAGGTCAGACCACCCCACCCCCGGTCCTCCCCACTCCCGACTTCCCGTTGCCCACCTTGTAGGTCCTCATCCGACGACCATACGGGGTTGCATCATCTCATGTTGTTGTCATGTTGTTCCCACCTCGTCGCACAAACCTAAATCTAGTTGGTGTTGGGAGTGTACGCCCTGAACAACGCTGCTGACGCCCTTTTCAGTCTTTGCCAACTCCCTGATCGCCACCGCTCTGACCTGGACCCATGCTGTCCAGTTGGGGAAGCGTCAAGCTAGCCTTGCGAACCCCAATGCCGAAACCACCGGCAGTCTCTGCTATTCGTTCCATGGCGACCTCCTGGTCATCGGCATCATTGCCTGCTACGCCGCCGCCGCCGCCGACACCTTCAGCTCCGAGCTGGGCATACTGGCCCGCACCCAGCCCCGCCTCATCACCGACCCCGTGCGTAAGGTCCCGCCAGGCACCAACGGCGGTGTCACCATCGAGGGCCTCGCCGCCGGTCTCCTCGGCTCGTCCATCATCGCTGCCGTGACCATGTACCTCCTCCCCACGTGTGACGAATCCACCGCGGACACCCCCGGCGGTGGCGTCCCCTGGACGACCCAGCAGCGCGTCCTCTACGCCGTCGCCATCGCCCTCTGGGGCGTGGTCGGGAGCATTTTCGATAGCTGGCTCGGCGCCACGTGCCAGGCCACCGTCAAGGATGTCCGGACCGGCAAGGTCGTCGAGGGCGAGGGCGGCTCCAGGGCGCTCGTGTCCCCGACGGAGACCAGACAATTGGCGCGCGCCGAGGTCGAGAAGGTCGTCCTCGCCGGGGAGGGCCAGGACGCTACCGAGAAGACCGACGCGTCCAGCAGTGCCATCGACGACGGAGCTGCCGTTGCGCCGCGTAAGGAAAAGGAGGGCCCCAAGGAGAAGGCCCGCAGGCCCAGTTTTGGCGATGAGAAGCCCACCCGCGTTATCGAGAACGGCATCGACCTGCTGGACAACAACGACGTCAACTTTCTCATGACATTGTTCATGAGCGTCGCTGCCATGACTCTCGCCAGCAAGGTCTTGGGCGTGCCCTTTGAGAGCATCAAGGTTTGAAGCTGGGTCTGTGTAATGGTATTACTAATTTTTTTTTTGTTCGTTGGAAACAAGCTTCGGGCAGAGCATGCTCGACTTGATAGAATTGGTAGCCCGCCTACGTTTCAAGGAATTGGAAATTCATAATCACTTCACATTCATGAAATTACAGGAGAGACGTTGCAACTTCTTGGTCTCGTCGATTTTGTTGTTGTCCCATCGGATCCGAAGGCCGGCCGAAAGACGGGTTTGGTTTTCCCCCACGTTGTCGCTTATTAGCGAGCGACATGGGAGAGACGCAACTTGTCATCCGCAGACTCTTGGCCCGTACTCCGTATAACATTGATTATTGCTCTGCAGAGGAACCCCAACTACGGGAATTTTCAACGTAGGACTGGTTATTGACGAGAGCCATGTTGAGGATGTTGTTCGATAGTGGAAAAGAGGACGGACGACCGGGGGCGGTATGAGGAATTGCGCCCGACTGCGCCCGACCAAAGGATCAATAATGGTGTCCGCCTGTCTTTAGTGTCTTCGAATGCCGCAATGGCCGTTGATTATTAATAATGTCTATCTATAGACCCCAATTGCCAAATAAATTTCCAGAACGAAACAAGAAAAAAAGTACGAGGGTACCTTAGGCCATCAGGTACAGAGGATACACGGACAGGACCAAGTCTGACTAATACAATCCCATGATATAATTATATCACGTGCGACGCGACACAGGGGCCGTGCCTTCTCACCTTGAACATACGGTAATACATCGTCTTTCTCGATTCATGCCTCTTCACAAAGACGCGACGCGCAACTCTATCGACCAGGACTACGCTGCTGGGAAAGGACTCGGGTTTCCCCGATGACACATGCACTCTCCTCTCTCTTAATCCTACACGGAATGGAGTCATAACAAGATGTGACCATGGTGTCTGACAACCGAGGGTATGCACTATGCACTACCTGCTCTATCTCGTCCTCAGACTGATGTAAAATACCGACGATCAAGGCTATTCCTACGATACCACCACGTACAAACGTATCCGGGCCCGTGGAACCGGTCGTCGGGGCTTTTCCGATTGTAACACGCCAAGAGGACGTCCAAGGTTCCATCGGTTCCGTGAGTCCAACCAACTGAGACCCCTCCCCTTCTCAGACGAACAACGGCCATCTCGCCTACGGGGATCTCGTCTACGAAGATTCCGTCCGTCTACAGGATGCTTCCCTTTGTCTTGGGGTGCAGTACGACGATATCACGCGGGGCGTGTGGGGCGATCGGGTCGGTCATGCGTCGTGAAGACGCCTGGATCTATTGAAAAGCCTCCCGTCATGGGCGAATGAATCGAGTGACGGGCAGGCTGGGGAAACCCTCCGAGAGGACACCCCGAGCCAACCCCGACCAAAGAGACACACCCTGTGGCTAACAAGGTTTTGAGAGATGTTGCAAGGTCCTCGGAGAGACGTCGGAAGCCATGAACAGACGAACAAGTGTCACACAATCGGCCACTGACAGCCTCCCACAACCCATAGGACGGAGACGGCTCCGGATTCGGGTTCGCTCCCGGTTGAAAATCCCTGCAGAGCCTGCAGAAGCCCTGCAAATTCCGTCGGTATGCTCGTCACCATCTCAGAAATAGGGTTTCTGCGGGAAGCGAAGCCCGTGGTTCATCTCCGGGGAACCGGTGCACCGGTTATCCCCAACGTCGCCGTTACATCGGTGTGGCTTTTGGCTTTCGGCCTGCTTTTGGCCTGCTTCTGGCCGAACAAGGTTGCTAGCTTTCCACACACAAGGTTTGCCTTACGGGCCGGCCTGCCCACCATCGCAGACCGTTCGGAGCATCCCTCGCGAGTCTCGCCTTCAACACGGCACCCTAAAATAAGACATCGCCTAGCCAAAAGGGGCAGCGTAGTCTTTTTCAGCCGAGCTTCCCCGGATCGGCGAGACATATGTGTGTTTCAGTGTGGGGACGTCTTCAAAATGCTTCATCTTACCGCTCTCTCTGCCAAACGTCCCGAATGTTCCTTGTCTAATTAAGGTACAATACGAGCATTTTAGCCTTTTTTATTTTATTTTTATTTTTGTTGGTCGGCGAAGAAACATCTGACTCCTGCTTACTCTGTCGATCACACCTCTACGCCTCTTCCGCTTGCTTACCGCCTCAAAAACGCGAATCGGACCGGTATGATTGATCGTGATTTGCCGCGTTTGCAAGGGAGAGCGAGTCATTTCCCAGACCAATGCCTATGTTGACCTCTGGCTATGGCTATGGCTATGGCTATGGCTGTGGCTCTGGCTCTGGCTCTGGCTCTGGCTCTGGCTCTGGCTATGGCTGTGGCTCTGGCTCTAGCTCTGGCTCTGGCTCTGGCTCTGGCTCTGGCTGAGCCGTTGTGCTGCTCGTACAAAACGTATTGTTTCGGTTCAGCTGAGTGGCGCTCCTATCACTTTTCTCCCGTTCGGGTACGGATGACACTCTCGACACTCGCTGGGCCTCTTTCTCTGTGTATCGGGTTCTGCCGACTTATCGTCTCACAGTGCTGACCTCCCTCACGATAATTGTTCGTCTCGCTTCATTCTCAACTACTCTCATGCATCGAAGACTTCTAGCATTCTTTCTGCCCTGACTGGACCACCACCTCTCATCTTACCCCCCCC